AAAGGCTGTGAGGACAACGGGATAAAGTCTGGAACTGACAGGTCTGTGTGGGGACCTGCTCTGTGGACCCGGGTTTTTTATCCTCCCCTTTAAAATCCGCATTTTGGTGCTGCCTAGAAGCACCCTGAATTGCAGGAAAGGAGAAATTCAAGACATTCTGCCTTGTTGATAGCTCTCTATGCTCTCCTGTAAGACTCTCACATTTCTTGACCATTTTTGAATTCATTCCAGATGCTCAATATCAGTGGTTCTCAACCTATGGGTCCCCAGGTGTTTTGGCATTCAACTCCCAGAAATCCCAGGCACTTTACCAGCTGTTAGGATTTCTGGAAGTTGAAGGCCAAAACATCTGAGGACCCACAGGTTGAGAGCCACTGCTCTATAGGGACACATAAGGGAATATCCTCTGCACTCCACTTAACACAACTTCCACCTGCTACACAGAGCTCTATATTGGAAGTGAGAAAAGAAATCATCTTGGTGTCTTGTGTTAATCTGATACTTGCTTCTAATTCTTGACTGTGCAGTGAGGCTGGGGTGGGGGAGACCAGTGGGACCACAGTGGAGCTGCTCCCTGATCTCATCTTCTCCTTGTTCCAGCAGAAAAGTGAACAAATGCTACCGAGGTCGTTCATGCCCAATCGTGGTGCACTGCAGGTAATGCCCTGGTAGGCTGGAGGAATGAATCTAGCAGTAATCAGAGATATGTGCTATAACATAAAAATGTGTCCAAAGCTGGGGAGGCAAGCAAGACAATATAATGCCAGGGAACTCAACTCTCAGGGAGCTGGATAAGTTGAGGGAGCTGGATATGTTTAGCCTGGAAAAGAGAACATCAAAAGGGGATGCGGCAGCTATCTGCAAAATCTGAAGGGCAGTCTTGTGGAAGATGGAGCAAGCTGGCTTTCTGCTGTTCCAGAGGGTAACATCCCAACAAAAGGAATCAAATCAAAATAAATTCTAAGTGAACATTAGAAAGAGGCTTCTGATGGTAGTCTGCCTGGAAAAGGGGTAGGGTCTGAAAGGGATAGGGTCTGCTATGAATTCCTACATTAGCAGAAGGTTGAGCTAGATAAGCCATGGGACCCTTTCCAATTCTCTGATTCTATGCTCCTCTAAAGGAGAACACAGAAAGGTTATGCCATGGGGTGGGAAGAGTGACTTGCCCAACACAAACATACCCAGCCTGCCTTGCTCTCAGACCTAAAAAGTATTGTCAAATCTATCTGGTCCATCTGGAAGAATCAACCAAGCCATACACCTCTACCCAGTCTATCCATTTTAGTAAACAATGTTGGATGTTCCTATGTTTGGCCTTCCCCAGTGTGACCATTTATTTTATCTTTGCAGTGATGGTGCAGGAAGGACTGGGACATACATCCTTATTGACATGGTTCTGAACCGAATGGCCAAAGGTGAGAGGGTGGGGCCCATTCCGCGGATACAGCCTGCCTGGCTCAGAAAGGTCAAGGCCTCAGATGCACAGAATATTACATTCATTCATGTTTTCAAGTTATTGCTGTAATCCTCCTGCAGCCCTCCTATCCACCACCTTTTCTAGGTTTTGCTGTCTCCTTGTAATCATCTCCTAGTTGTTTTGTACTCTATGGCCTTCATTTTACTTCAATGTCAGGATTCCCCATTCCCTGCCCCCAGCTGCACCACCAGCTATTTTCTTCCTCCTAACCAATTTTTAAAATCTCTTCCCCTCCATGTCAGGCGTGAAGGAGATTGATATCGCAGCCACACTGGAGCATGTGCGTGATCAGCGACCTGGCATGGTGCAGACTAAGGTACTGTGTCGTACTTCCTATGTAGTCCTTATGGGTGAAAGGGAAGCATTTGCTGTAAGGTTGATGATATAGTGCAACCCCCATATCCATGGAACCAATATACATGGTTTTGTTCATTCATAGCTTCACTTACTTACTTACTTACTTACTTACTTACTTACTTACTTACTTACTTGGAGCCTCCTATACAAGTTAAACCTTCTTGCTTTCTCAATCACTTGTCCCATTGAAAATAAAAGGGTTCATTATTACCTGAGGTTTCATATATCTACATAAAGTCCAGGAATATATCCCCACAGATCGTATTCTAGTGGAGATGTTGTCATTCCCTCAAGTGTACTTCTAGAAAGTGTGGTTGCTTGTCCAACAGTTACACTGGCATACCGCCTTGAGTCCCCTTTGGGGTTGAGAAGGGCAGGGTATAAATAGAGTAAATAAATAATAAATACTACTGCTTGGGCAACCCAGATTAAGATGCCACCATCTTAGAGCTTTGTGCTTCATAGTACAAGAGTGTATATAAAACATGGTGTTTGGTTTTGGTTTTCAGCAATAGGAGAGTTGAGACTGAAATAAAAAATAGCTCAGTGATCCCCAAACCTTGGCCATCGAGTTAAGGATTTCAGCTCCATAAGCCCCAACCACCTTGTCCTGTGGTGAGGAATTCTGAGAGCTGGAATCCAAAACACCTGAGAGATCAAAGTTTGGCTTAGTTAAAGAAGTCTTCTGTTTTCTAACTAGTGTTGTTGTACAGAAATTGTTCTCAGCTATTGATCCTCCAGATGTTTTTGGATTCAACTCCCAAATGCTGTTCACTAACTGTGCTGCGTATTGGAGCTTCTGGAAACTGGATTCCAAAATTATTCAGAGGATCAAAAGAGGAGAACTATTGCTGCAGAGTAGGCACAAACACGTGATTCCAGCTGCCCTATGTGGCAAAATCACTCACTTCTTTTTGAGAAAAACCTTATCCCAGGCTTTCTAAGAGCTGTGAAAGTGGTAAATTTTGAGATCTTTTGAGAGTCCTTGCTCAAGACTCTCCAGCTAACAGAGACAGTATCTAGGGGCTTTCTTACCAAGATTTCTTCAGAGAGGATTTGCCATTGCTTTCCATGGATAAAACCACCACACTGGCCTTCTGTTTTAGCTCTAGGAGAGCCTTTTTCCCAGCCAGGAAGTGAATGAAATTAACATTTGGTTTTGGGAAAAGTCCCCTCCTCAGAAAAAAAAAATAGAAGAAAGTCTTCCAAATGTGGTGAAATTTCCTAACATGAGCTAAATGCAGACCACATATTTCACACATCTGCTGTGCGGGTGCTCTTTCTCTCATTCTTCTGGGTGGGAGCTATTCAAAACATGAAACAAGGGAATGTCTGGTGCCCATAATAGTTTTGTGTTATGGTCATCCCACTTTAAACAACTGCCTCTGTATCCCCAGGACCAGTTTGAGTTTGCGCTGACGGCTGTTGCGGAGGAGGTGAATGCCATCCTGAAGGCGCTGCCACAATGATGCCCTACTCAGCGCACTCTAGCTTGGTGATGCCCAACCTGACCCCTTGCCTCTGCTGTGCCATGTCCTTGCCCCCAGGGTGTTCTCCCTCCATTGAAGTCTTATCTCCACATTGTCAACTGTGGCTGCATCTGTTACCTGCAGAGATGCTGGCCCCTTGCTTTCTCACCCAGCTGGGTCCTGTCAATCTGATGTCCTCCTCCTGCCCCTACCCACATCCCCCTTGGCTTTGGTTGATGAGGTCCTACTTTGCAACCCAACAGATTAGTCAGCTGTCTTGTTAACTTACACTCGATCCCCTGAAGACAAAAACAGGGGCTGAAATTCCAAACACAACTACTGACCTTTTTAAGCCTAAGTAGGGAAATGTGTCCCTCCAGATCTTAGGTGGTGACTCCCAGTATCCCATCCCATTAGCTATGTTTCTTGGGGTTGATTGGAGATGCAGTCCAACTGCAGGAACACCTCTTATTCATCACCCTTATACTCAAGCATACTTTGTGCCCATGCCATTTCTGTACTTGCCTGTTTCCACAGTGAGAGGAGTGTGGATTTGCATAGCTGTGGTCCCATGTCGTATCCCCACTATATGGAAGTGGCAATGTAAGTTTCTGGGCAGCAAGCAGGAAGTCCGTCGTATTCAAACACAGGGTTTTACTTCACCCTCTGCTCCACCCTTTGCTAAGCCTACTTTCTGGACAGCCTAAAAGGGTCTCTGGAGCCAAGCCACAGCAAGGGGCAGGATCAAGGATTGTCCGGCTTCTTCACTACCACTGACTCTCTTCTGTCCTCCTCCTTCATTCCCTGAAGCCCACGAGTCCGGCCTCCCCACAGCCACTCTCCTCCTTCCCCAAAGGTGGTAGGGTGCACCGCAGTTCTCCCTCCCCGTGTTTGTCTCCCTCCTCTCTCCCACACCCCATGTTCACTGCAGTGAGAAGACATTTCTAGAGAATCTAATTTTGTATTTGATGTGAATAAAGTTTGTGTTGTGTTTGTGCAGCTGCAGCCCAGCCTCCCCCTGTTGTGTATCATCAAGATGCGGCGGCGGCGGCGGCGGGGGGGGGAGACGATGTTTTCTTTTATTGCACTTTCTGCTTACTTAGGACACTAGTTCTTCAGTCATATTAGGCAATATTTGACCTAACCACAGCACCTATGAATTACACTGAATGCTTTGCCTCAGGGGTGGGGACATATATGAGACTAACTCTGCAAGGAAGCAAAAGGATGTGACCTCTATCTAAAGGAAGAATCAGAAATTGTTCCATTTTAAAGACATATAAAACAAATGCAGCTGAAAACCTTGCTTAGGGCTAATGCAATATTTCTCTCTTGCTTTCCCAGGAATTGGGCCCCCTGGTGGTGCAGCAGGTTAAACCACTGAACTTGCTGACCAAAAGGTTGGCAGTTCGAATCCAGGGAGTGGGGTGAGCTCCCACTATTAGGCCCAGTTTCTGCCAGCCTAGCACTTTAAAACATGTAAATGTGGGTAGATCATTAGATACCACTTCTACTGGAAGGTAACAGCACTCCATGCAGTCATGCCGGCCACATGACCTTGGTGGTGTCTACAGACAATGACGGCTCTTAAGCTTAGAAATGGAGATAAGCACCAACCCCAAGAGTTGGACACGACTAGATTTAATGTCAGGGGAAAACCTTTACATTTACCTTTCCCAGGAATTACAGACATGGTGTTAATTGCAAAGAAGTTTATTGATAAATGCCTTCTGTTCTATGCCAGGCCAGCACTTTTGAGTTACAAACGAGACCAGTCTTGCACTCCCAAGTTACAGACATATAGAATAGCTATGTGCTAATTGTAGAATTTCCCAATTTGCCAGGAGAAGGGGGGTAGAGAGACAGCCACAGCCTTCTCTTTCATTGCCATCAGAAGAAGCTGGTGCTCTGTGCTCCCTTGCTCTCACTTGCTCTACCTGTGGAAGAACTGGTCCTGAAAAGCTCCCGTTGCTCTGATGGGATGGGTAGACTTTGTTTCTAGCCCTTGGCACTAGAGCATAAGGCCCTCAGCAATAACACAGGGGGATGAATGATCTGATGATGTTGCACCTGAAAACTTAACTTCCAATACCCCTTTCCTCTCTCCCTACACAAACACACATCCTTGTGCAACTATAGGAGGACAAGCAGCATAGTGTGGCAGCACAGAGTAGCCACACTAGCAACCTGACTGGATTCCATGCCTGCTAAAGTTCACTTGGTACCCCTACTATCTCTCTCCCACCACTGCTCTGTAAGTGTCTGTCCTCACAGCCAAATCTATGTCACTCCTTAGCCAGAAGCTCTTCTGAGGGAGAAGGACATGGGTGAAATGTGTGTTGGGGGTGGAGTGAGGGGGAATACAGACAGAAAAGGCCTTGGGCTTCCCCAGACTGGAGAACCTACCCCTCCCAAGAGTTTTTCTTTTTTTCCATTCAGGAGCAGCATCAGCAGTGTAGCTACTTGTACATGGAACAGGCTATGTTCAGCCTGGGCCCTCGTGAGCTAGTGAGCGCTACCTGACACGCAGCAGAGAGAACTAACGGGGAAGAAAGTCACACACTCGGCACTTGCTGGTCCCCGGGGCAGAGCTCAGGTAGGGGAAGAGCAAACGAAGTCCAGGCTTGAGTAGCCTTCTGTGAGCACGAATGCTAGAGAGGCCATCCCCCATGGCTCTTCCAGACTCAGAACACACCTGGGGAAAACAAGGAGGGACAGAACAGGGGGGGAAGAAAGAGAGAGGAAGGAGGGGGTGAACGGGTGGAGAGAAAAAAACACAGGCAACAAGTGAATCATACAGCAGTGAAAAGTGGGTGACAGCAAGCAAATTTGGGGCTGTGAACATTTCTACTTTCAGTAGTGAAAAAGAAATGGTGTGTGTGTGCATAAAAGCTTTCAACTTAAAGACACAGGTGCTCCATACCTAGGCATATACAAGGTCATGCATGAGCCACTGTATGGGTAAGTACTGGACCGATGTAAAGGCAGGCAAAGAAAACAGATATTTGTAGACTCAGTGGTAGTAAATGGCTCCAGGGAAGAGGTGCCTTCTTGCCCATCCCTACCCCTCAATAACATCCACACTACAGTAAGCATGAATGCCAATCTCCTATTGGCTAACTGCTTACGTAGGCAGGGGGAAGGAAAAGACCAAGGGTGCAGCAATGGCAAGGAAAGGCTGCTGCTTCTCTGTGCAGCCTATTTGCCCAGTGCCTGCCTTCCAGAGGCAGGAGTCCTTGGGAAATAGTCCCCTGACCAAGTCATCCCTCCAGGGCACCTAGGCTTCCCTATGCCAATGGGTTAAACCCTTGTACCAGCAGGACTGCTGACTGATAGGTCAATGGTTCGAATCTGGGGAGAGTGGGTTGAGCTCCCTCTGTCAGCTCCAGCTCCCCGTGCAGCAACATGGGAGAGGCCTCCCACAAGGATGGTAAAACATCAAACATCCGAGTGTCCCCTGGGCAACATCCTCGCAGATGGCCAATTCTCTCACACCAGAAGTGACTTGCAGTTTTTCAAATCACTCTTGACACAAAGAAAAACCTATGCTTCCAGATCTTCTATACCCAAGGAAGCAGGCACTGAAGACATAGACTGACCTTAAACTTGTTTTTTGAAGAAGAAAAAATGGGCATGCTCCAGGCACAAAGTATCTGCTTGTGGATTTGTTTTTGTTATTTTGAACCAGGGGTCCAAAATTCATCAAGCCAGCACTGCACTGAGGAAGTTGTCTGGAATACTGTGATATTACAGGGTTTCTCGCATAAATCCACAGCTGCATATTCAAACCATGTTCTCGTTGTATTCAGTAGACCAAGTTATCTCTCCATGGGCCCTGTTAGATCCCCCACAACAACATCAAGCTGCTACTACTTATTCCTATACTTCTCCTGACTCTACATCCCCAAAATAACATTGGGCAGGCATTTATTTATTGGGGAAGATACTAAGGACAGAAGACAGAATTTACAGAGCAGCACATGAATACAGGCTGTCAAGATAAAGGCGTCACGGATCATTCACTCTGGGGCTGTGTATATTTAGTACCTCTGCATTGTTCCTCTATTCCAGTGGTTCTCAACCTGTGGGTCCCCAGATGTTTAGGCCTTCAACTCCCAGGAATCATATCAGCGGGTAAACAGGCCGGGATTTCTGGGAGTTGTAGGCCAAAACACCTAAGGACCCACAGGTTGAGAAACACTGCTGTATTCTTTCATGTAGTTTCTAACTTAGGGTGACCCTATTATGGTTTTCCAGATAAGTTTTGTTCAAAGGAAGTTTTTCTTTTTCTTTCTTCTGAGGCTGAAAGTGTGTGACTTGTCCAAGGCCACCCAGTGGGTTTCCATGGCTGAGGAGGGATGTGAGCCCTGCTCTCCAAAGTCGTATTCCAGTGTTCAAACCCTGGCTAGCTCTCATGTACCTTCTCAGTACAATTTAAAATACTCCATCCAGACCACTTAAGATCTGTAAGAATAATACATTGAAGGATGGAGCTTTTTGGGAAGGAGAGGGGTTCTCCAAATCATTTTGAAATAATCTGTATATTGGGTTGTTGTAGGTTTTTTGGGCTGTATGGCCATGTTCCAGAAGCATTCTCTCCTAAGGTTTTGCCTGCATCTATGGCAGGCAACCTCAGAGGCTGTGACCTCACAACCTCTGAGGATGCATGCCATTGATGCAGGCGAAACATCAGGAGAGAATGCTTCTGAAACATGGCCATACAGCCCAAAAAACCTACAAGAACCCAGCGATTCCAGCCATTGAAGCGTTTGATGATACATTGAAAATCCGTATATTTTATGGTCAAGGAAGGAGCAACAGAGGAGACTGGACAAAGATAAGACACACAGAGATATTTTCACCCTGCAGCTAGAAGCACAGTTTAAACGAACAAAGCAAGGCAAAATCATTGGGGACACTTGGAATGACAAAAGGCAATGACGTAAGAGATATACACAGCCCTGCTGTTAAATGACCCTGAGTCAGGTAAAAGGAGTGTTGGAGGGTTACCTGCAGGGAGGCAGCATGGAAGGGCATCAGACAGAATATGCCTGTCCATCAGGGTCTGTGGCATGGGAAGCACAGGAGGGAAGGATGGGCAGGTGAGCAGACAAGCGGCAGCGGCAGCAGTGGTGGTGGCGGCGGCGGCAAAGAAAGAAAGAGAGGGCACCAACAAGTTACATTCCTACATCAAGCCTCCACCAAAGCCTTATCCAGGGCCTGCCACCAGGGGGAAACCGAGGGAGGATCTCTACCAGATACTACTCTCAAGCAAAGGAAGGGAGAGGAAGCAGGAGACCACAGTGCGAATGGGTAAGTAATGCAAAATACAAACAAGGCAGATTTAGAGCAGGCAGTGGCTGAGCAGTCGCACCTGCAGGGAAATCCCCATGCACTTGGGAAATCATACAGATAAAAGGAAACATGAGACACAAGTAACACACACGACTTGGTTCCTGCTTCTACTTGAAAGCATAATGCTTTGGGCGGCAAGGTCATGACAGCAGATATTAACTTCACTCCCACATGCCACTTAAAATTAAAGCTAGAGCTATTTAGCCAATCTCCCTGTGCAGGATGTCTTTGTGGGATTGAAAACGTTATAATACTGCCAAGAGAAAATGGGAGACATCTTAAGAGTTATGCTTTTCCTTACTGCTATGGCTTTCCAAATACGTTTAGCCTACATCAGCACAGCAAACTGAGGGATTCATAGGACATACAGCTCTAGGCCACAGGTGTCCCCCACCCATGGCTACAGCTTGCCTCATCTGGCTGTGAATCCAACCACTGTAAACAGCATCTCCAGCTCAATGTTCTTTCTCTTGCTAGCCCTTAATGCAAGGCAGATCTGTCCCATCCCCTGCAACTCTGCTAGAGGACAAAGGCACATGCTGAAACTAGGAGAAAGGGATGGAGAGAATATTACAGTGAAGAAAAAGGCACCCATCCTCCTCTCTGGTTCAAATGAAAAGTGGAGGATGTATGCCAAGATGGCCCTAATCCCCTCCCCCTCCCATATAAGGCATCAAGCTATTCTAGTTTGAGACAGAGTTTTAGTAAAGGCCAATTCTGCCAAGGAGCTAAGCCGGCACAAAACTCCAAGGGTGAAAGCAACCTCTGCTGCCACAGGGCCTAAGGCTCGACCCTGATAACAAGCAGTCAACCAACGACAGCCAATAGCAAGTCCCCTTCCTCCCCCTTGATTTATCTATCCGGCATGGGAAGAGGGAGGGACAGAAACAGGACCATGCAGTCAAACCATGCAATAAAACAGGTAGGCAGAGAGTGTAGTCTGAGCTTGCAGATTGCCACCAGATCTGTCTGTAGTGCGCAGGCTGCTCAGGCAATGCTTCTACAAGCCAAATTACACACGTGCACACATACACACACAGTCAACACAATCGGATCCTGCTTGCCCTTTACTCAATAGTGCCACCTCTTTGGCAGAAAGGGCCCTGGGCATCTCTGTTAGTAACGCACCATTGCAGTCCTCAAGGAACAACCCATTCCACCGTTGGCCCGGGCCCTGATCATACAAGCCTCAGGCTGGAGTCACAAAAGGCTGCACTGCGTGTCCTTCTTCTTCTTGGGGGAGCAGTCTTTGGCTTTGCCCTTCCCTTTGCCCTTCCCCTGTCCGCTCCCACCCGTGGCCCCTGAAGAGCCTCTGGAAGTCCCCCCTGCCTGGCTGTCCATGACAGGACTCCCTTGCGCAAAGGGAGTATTTCCTTGGGGCCGCTTTTTCATGGGGCTTCTCGCACCTGCTCTGTGCTGGCCTGCGGCCTCCATCTCAGACAGGCTGTAGGCCATCGCCAGCTGCAAGTCCTCATCATCCTCATCGCTGTCGGTGTACAAGATCACAGGGGAGGAACTGGGGGATGGGCGCTTTGCAGGTGGCTGCTGGAGAGGCGTCACTGGGGGAGAAGACGATGTCTTGCGGCTCTGCACGGCCTGCTGCTCCCGCCGGCTCAGCTCCAGGCCCAGCGCCAGGTCATCTGGAACACCTGCAAGGGAAAAGCCCAAGCTCACAGTGAGAGAGACCTGCTCTCCATTGCCCCTCTTCCTCCTCACATCCTTCACAGTTCAACTTCACAAATGCTTCGTCTCTCCTCCAGCCACGCTCAGTAGGGCCCAACAATTGGGGATCTTTGGCCTTCCTACAATTCTCTATCACTGCTGGCTTAAAGTTAAAGCCTGAAGTATCAATGCTTCTCCCATTCCTCCTGTACACCACTGCTACTTAAACTGTGGGTCCCGATTCCTTTATTTCAATGTTGGGGTCAGGAAAAATTTGGCAACAGTAAAAGGTTTCTGAATGCCACCCACTGACACAAATCTGTTAGCAACAAGGTGCAGCATTTACTATGGACTCTGCAGAAAATGCTTCAGCTACACTCCACAGAGAAGAAACCAAATGCAGATTTATTTTCAGAAAATGTTTAATTTTTATATCTATTTGATGTACCTATATACATGGGGTCACGTAAAAAAATTCTCAAGCAGAAAGGGATCACAAGTGGAAAAAGTTTAAGAAGTCCTGCTGTAGACTACAGGTCTCCCACTGATAGAGCAAGATCCCTTTTAGGTTCTAGACCAGTGGTTCTCAACCTGTGGGTCCCCAGGTGTTTTGGCCTCCAGAAATCCCAGCCAGTTGAAAACCTCTGTTCTAGACTGTCTTAAGGTGGGTCCTAACTAGAGCACTCTAATTGTGGAGACGTGTGGTCCCTGGCTTTTTTGAGCCGATACAAGAACAAATTGGAACATCCCTATTTGAACAAAAGATGTGCTTTATCGCTGCAAAAGTTGAGAACTAAGCTAGCAAAATTATCTTCTTCCAATTGTATTGTCATTTATTGAAGCAACAAATGCCTTGAACGCAGTATACACCGACTGAAATCCATTTGAAAACCTTTGATGAGTTTGCACAACTCTCTCCTCCACTCCCCTTACATATTAGACCACTTCTTTTTTATTTTATGCACAGCTTGAGAATCAGGAGCCGCCAGTGGCACAAGAGGTTAAACCCTTGTGCCGGCAGAACCGAAGACCAACAGGTCAGAAGTTCGAATCCGGGGAGAGCACAGATGAGCTCCCTCTGTCAGCTCCAGCTCCCCATGCAGGGACATGAGAGAAGCCTCCCAGCAATGATGGTAAAACATCAAAAACATCTGGGTGCTCCCTGGGCAACGTCCTTGCAGACGGCCAGTTCTTTCACACCAGAAGCGACTTGTGGTTTCTCAAGTCGCTCCTGACATGGGGAGAAAAAAAAGATTGGTAATGCTACTTTTGGAGACAACAACCCCAGAAGGTCCCAACCACCATGCCCAGTGGTCATGCTGATTAGCGGGTGCTGGGAGTTGTGGTCCCTCAAAAGTAACTTTCCTATCCTCTAAGCCTCTAGCATCCTTCACCACAACCCAGATGCCATTTTAACTAGTCCCCAGAATCATCAGGCACATTTCACAGCTGCTCCAAAAGCATCCTACCAATTACATGCATGTGTGTGTGCACATTCTCACACACTTCCCTCAAAGCTGGAGATTAAGTGTCACTGTGAGAAGAAATCCATGGGGACAAGGGTCTATTACTCCCCGTCTCCCAGGAGACAGACTGAGATCAGGCAGAAGGCATCAAGGGAAGGCATCAAATTTCTGACTCTGGCTCAAGGCAGGAGCATGTGCTGCTGAGCCAACAGAAGGCTTTGTCCTGGGAACTCAGGATACCACCCCCTTATCACCTTATAGCTGCTCACCATTAATCTGGATTGATTTCAGCTCCCCGTTTTCTTCCACCTCTACCCTCTCCTGCCCATTTTCGACGATCCTAGAGAACATTTGCGGAGGGATGGAGAGATTATGTTACACAATGGAAGCAAATGGAAAGCATCAGTCCCCATCCAACCTGCTCTAATAAATATTGAATATTGTGCTCTCCCTGTTAATGGAGTTGACACCACTTTGACTGTCATAACTCAAAGCTATGGAATCATGGGAGTTGTTGTTTGGTGGTAAACCAGCACTCATTGGTAGAGAAATCTAAAGACCTTGCAAAACTACAGTTTCCATGACTCCGTAACACTGAGCCATGGCAGTTAAATTGGTGTCAAACTACATACATTCTAAAGCAGCAGTTCTCAACCTATGGGTCTGCAGATGTTTTGGCCTACAACTCCCAGAAATCCCAGCCAGTTTACCAGCTGTTAGGATGTCTAGGAGTTGAAGGCCAAAACATCTGGGGACCCACAGGTTGAGAACCACTGTTCTAAAGCGTACCCTATCCAGTACATGCTGCTGTGATCTGACACATATCTTCCAGCTGATTGTCAGAAGAGGATCTGTAATTCAGCTCATAAGATAAGTAAATTTTGGAATAGCAGCAGGTGAAAGGAAGCCAGCAAACAGTTTAAAAAGCTTGAAAACAGTGCATAGCAACTCCCACTGAACCATTTCCTGCTGATAATTTTATATTTTATTTATAAGAGATTGCTAAACTGCCTTTCCACCATAACAAAGACTTCCAAGGAAGTTCACAGAACACAACTCTAAAAACAAAAGACTAATATAGTCAAAATTGAGTATTAATAACAGACATTGTAATGTTAAAATCTTCAGTCTTGAATGAAAAAGCATTACAGTCCAGTAAGGACAAACATACTTTTGCCAGCAACCTACAAAGTTGCCAAGAATGGACATTGGTTCTCAACCTGTGGGTCACCAGGTGTTTTGGCCCACAACTCCCAGAAATCCCAGCCAATTTACCAGCTGTTAGGATATCTGGGAGTTGAAGGCCAAAACATCTGGGGACCCACAGGTTGAGAACCACAGGACTACTATAACCATTAGGGGAAGAAATATTCCTAATGGGCTACAAAAAAGACCTTGTTTTTGTCTTCTTCACAGCTACTTTTGGCTGTGAGACACACAACTTTGAAATATTGTTACTGTCAGAACCTGGCAACTTTTGGAATTGAGACGCACTCACAATGCAGATCAGTGGAAACAAAGTATTTATTATTCTGTCTTGCCAGAATTCAAGAAAGTCAATTCTAACTTTTCCCTCCCCTTCCCTGGCATAGATCAAGAAATTCATCCCCACCACCACCCAACTCATAATGTATTCTCACAGCTTCTACTTTCAATTCCCAAAACACACATTACACTTTCAATTCTCAAAACACTGCCAGATGTTCTTATCTGTACCACATTCCACATCTCCTTCTCAAGCCCCCCTTCATGTCAGGAGAAGAGGAGTAGCCTTTTCACACGGCTGTCTCAGGCATCCTGACAATTACAATGCATATGATTTGCATTTTCAGATATCCTGGCCCTCAGCGTTGAAGGACTGATAACTAAAGAGCAAGCACCTTGACCTGTGGCAGACTCTCTTTCATGGTTTGAAGTTGGCAGTGAAAAACAAAAATAGGTGATCAAACAGTATGGCCAGATCTGTCCTTTCCAATGAAGCACAGCTGGCATAACAGCTAACGCAGGGCAAAAGTGGTCTAGTTATTCAGGTTTCTAGGAGCAGTTCTCGAGCCTGCAGCAACTCTCAAACTCTGAACCTCACCCTTCACCGTCATCTGTAATCCCAATCCTGACAGGAGGGCTGGTACCAAGAAAGAAAGTCTAGACACACTGGGAGAAGACTGCGTTATTTCTCTCACCAACTCCACACTGCTGTGGGCACTGGGTTCCTAAGACACCCAAACATCTGAACCTAGAGGCCACTGGAGCAGAAAGTGGAAAGCATAGCCTACAAGTAATAGGAAGTGGCTTTTAACCACCTATGGGAGCTGTCTAACTGCTTGGTACCCAACTAAGTTCTGCATGCAGAAATTTTAAAAGTTCCTTCTTGACATCTATTAAAATGCCTTGGGTATCAGGAGCAGAAATGTTACCGGCCTGGTTTTCTCAGCCTGAGCTAAACATACAAGGCTGCCAAGAAAGAAATGTGGAAAGAAAATGTGGAAAGAAAACCTGACCTCACTGGAGGAAAGGCAGGTAATAAATATTACAAACAAACCATTATTATAATGGGTGGGATCCCAAGCAGCTTGTTATCCTGAATGAGCAGAGATGATTTGTTCTGGAAATACTTGTAGCTCTGTATTGCAAGGAACATGTAATTCAATTCATATTAGCGAGGTCTATCTCCCATCTAATCCAGCATACTGGCTGGATTAGGAGGGCCACAGGCTTCAACACACACACACGGCTTATGCTCTAATATTTTGGAAGTATGGCAGAAAATTGTCAAAAGCAAATGACAGCAAAGTTGACGAGAAAAGTTTGGTCAAGCTTACATACCTCTTAGTAGTGATTCGCTTGCCATTGACGAACCTGGTAGAGGTGGAGACAGAGCGGAAGCCCATTCCTGCATTGATCCCAGGACCAAGTGTGGGGGAAAAGAACTCTGCAAGGGAGAGACAGAGAGAGGGAGAGAATGTGAGAAGAGCTTGTGAGAGAAAGTGCTGTCGGAACTGAGAAACAACCTGCAAAACCCAGCAGAGTAACCCAGCAAAGGAGAGGAAAAACAAGTTGAAAATCCCTTAACCAGGATTTCCAAACCCAAAATATTCAACTGTAGGGTGGAACCTTGGCAGGAGAGACAGAGTCAGTGGGACCTAGAATAAAAAAGTGACTACAGAGAGTTTGAGGCGGGCCAAGGGAGCAAATATTCCTTCCTTACCTGGTGCTGCATGAAAGGGTGAGAAGAATGTTCCTGCAGCAGGATGTCGGGGACCACGCATGTCTGAGAAGGGGTCATCTGGAAATACATCAAGGACAGAGGCAGTCTGCAAATGCTAAAAATCTGATGCCTCCTCAAATTAGTACATGCACAAAACTCATTTCCTCCTCACCATGTGCACACACATTCCCCACCATTTGTTTAACATACAGATATACCAATACAGATAGATATTCTGCCACTCCACTCCTGGCTTCAGCACACAGAAAAGGGAAATTAAATCCTCCCTTCCTTGGCCACTGAGATCTGCCATCTGAGTGCCCCTCACACAAACACATACACACATTTCCTCTTGATATGCACAGATACCCATTATGTCCCTGACACAGGTATGCATGAACTCCTTTCCCCGACCACCACCCGGACTCAGAGCCAAGGCAATGAGAAGGTTTAATCCTCCCTTCTCTGATGAGGTCTAGGGATTGTCAGCTGCTAGAAGATGCAGAGGAATCCCTGAACTCAGAACATTTTCCATAAACTTCATTGATTTTCTGCTAATAGCAGTGATAGGAGCTAATGTCAACACTTTGTAGCTAATGTCAACACTTTGCCTTCAACTAGTCCATCTCCTATTCAAAGAGACATTGCACTTTGCTGTCTAAGACTCACCCAAAAAGAAAGGACTGCAAGCTGTTTAACTCCCTTCTACTTAAGATTTTCAGCCTTTACTTTTCTTAGACGCACAGGTGATTTTTCTTTTACCATTGTATGCTTTCTGGAATTGCCCCAATTACCAACTTCAGCATATGACATATTTCAAAAGGTCCACAGAATGAATTGAGATTGTTTGATGCTGCTACAAAGCTAAGCAGGTCTCCATGAATTCTTTCTCAACCCTGTTTTCTTCACTGCCAGTCCTTTCAATCACTCAAGTACTACCCACCTTGAAGGATTTCACTGTCTGTCCTTCTAGAACCAAAGTCAAGAGATGACAAAGAGAGCCTTCCACAGAGCATCCCAAACCAGAAGGATGAGATACCACCTTGAGAATTCAAACTTGTACATACCAAAGAAGTCAGCAAAAGGATCTCGCCCTCCAAAGAACTCCCGGAACACGTCATGTGCGCTGCGGAAAGTAAAGGTGAATTCAGGTCCTGGATGAGGTCTGGAACCACTGGGCCCACCTGGAAGAAAAAAAATGTCAAGGACCCATATGATAACATGGTAACATTCTATGCAGAAAGATTAAAACCTCCTGTTCAAGTTAAAGTTTTGGGGATTTAGATAATTAAAATATCTTTGAGATTACTACCTGTCCAGTCTTTGAACTATTAACTAGGCATGGCTGCCTTCAGAGTCTGCAGGCCAAGCCAGTCTGTTGTTGGTCCAGGAGTAACATGAAAGCCAGAAAGCTAGAGAAATCCATTTTAACCAAATAGAAAGCTGTTAAACCAAAAACACACCATGCTCTTGTACAGAGTGGTTTTACTGCCCCCAAAACACAGGTTTCTCTATTCTTGAGATCATTGCTTCTTAAACTGTGGTCCTGACCCCAAATGGGGTCATCATAGCTCAATGTTGGGGTTACAAAAAATGCCAATAGTAAAAGTTTTCTGGATGCCACCACCTAGCAGCTGTTTTTGACATTTATATGAATCTTTGTGCAGTGTTTATAGTGGTCTATGCAGAAGATGCTTCAGTTGTACTTCATAAAAAAACAAAATCAGCCTGTTTGGCAAACCTTGCAAATGCTAGATTTTTACACCTATATACTCAAGGTTACATAAAAATTATTGAGTTTAAAGGGGCCTAAGTGGAAAAGTTTAAGGAGCCCTGCTTTTGATGAGGAAAAAGGCTAATTCCACTACAAACCACGTAGATTTGGTACTATGATATGAGCTGGGAAAAAGCTTCAGTAACAAAGCAGCCATGAAACTGTTTTCCCAAGCTCAGCTCCATACAGACCATCCCTCACATTGTAATATGGTGCAGTATCAACTGATGAAGCAGTCAACGTTTCTTAGCTCACGTAAGTTCACTGCCAGTAGTTTTATTTCTGTTCGCTTCTCACTCAGAAATGTGGACTGCTGCTTTTCAGTTAACCCAAGCACTGAAGCAGCGAGATGGCCCTTGTTTAGCCCCAACATAACCCAAATCCTGTCCAGGATCTGCTTACCTGCACCTATGAGGCCTTCTTTGCCATATCGGTCATAGACTTCACGCTTGCTCTCTGAAATCAGAAAGTCCCTGGGTTATTTTTTTCCAGTTACAACCACATCCTGCTTCAGTTAAGGGTTAGCAGAGTTTGCATGACAAACAGAGAAAGCTAACATTTTTTCCACAACATAACCAAGATGAGAAATATTCAGCTCTCCAGAATTTATGAAACTGCAGCTCCCATCCCTCTGCACCAATGTCTATGCTGGAAAGAAATAATGGACTTGTTGTCCAATATCTTGAGTGCTATATGTTTCCTATTCTTCACTTACACAAACCCAGAAAAAAATAAGCCAATTACTAAGTGTTGCTGTGAGTTTTCTGGGCTGTATGGCCATGTTCCAGAAGCATTCTCTCCTGACATTTCACTCACATCTATGGAAGCATCCTCAGAGGTTGAGGGGTCTGTTGGAACTAAGGCTTTATTAAAGATGGGAGCTAAGGCAAAAAAAGAGTAATGAAACACAATTTATGTTTAGCATCTTTTTAAAAGGAAGTCTAATTGGCTTAAGGTGGACTGTCCCTACAATCAATTACTCTCCAAGACTTGAGTGAATGCACCAAACTTTACACCCGACTGCAGAGGCCTACAGACATCCTCTTCTCCTCCAGTGCCAGCCTGTGCTCAGTTGTAGCAGGTAAGGAAACATACCCTCAATTTAATAAAAAGAATCTCACAGAAAGAGCCAGAGTGGAGTAAAACATCCACGAAGGGTATGGTAGGCAGGATCGAGAATCAAAAGCCCATCCACTTACTGTCTGAGAGCACTTCATAGGCCTCAGCTATCTCCTTGAACCTCTGCTCAGCATATTCTTTGTTGTCAGGGTTTTTGTCTGGATGCCATTGCAGAGCTTTCTTCCTGTACCTGTTTTCACAGAATCCAAGAGACAACAAGAATTAGCTCTTCTGGTATATATATTTTGTGAGATTCAGTTCTGCAGACACACTTTTCTTCTCCCATCAGTTTGCCCAACTATGACTTGAGCACCACCCATTCACCACGGCATCCCTCCAAGCCTTTCTCTACCCAGACCCTGTAACAGCAGAGGATTTTCTTTTCCCTGGGATGACAGACTCTTAGCTTGATGAGGAACTAATTGACATCATTCATTATCTCAGATCCCCAGATCAACTGAAGCAAGTATCTGTTTTTCTTCTGCTACCTGTTCTCAACTGGGGGTGAGGAGACTTCACTTGCTCCAAAGCACAAACTAAACCTCTGGTTCTCAGCCTGTGGATCCCCAGGTGTTTTGGCCTACAACTCCCAGAAATCCCAGCCAGTTTACTAGCTGTTATGATTTCTGGGAGTTGAAGGCCAAAACATCTGAGGACCCAACAGGTTGAGAACCACTGAACTAAATGAAGGTAAAAACCCCATTTGGTAAGACGAGCCACCTTACACATATGCAACATGCCCAAAAGAGGCTCTGTCTTTTGACAGAGGCAGCCTTCATATGGCAGTGGACCCCAAATTCCCATTAGCTCCAGCCAACCATTGCTGATGCCCAGAATGCTGGGAGATGCAGTCCAAAAACATTGGGAGTGGGACAGATTTCCCTAGCCCCACCCCGCACACACAACAGCCACTGGGGGCCTTCATATGCAAAGCAGGGGATAAGTCTGAATTCTTGCTGCTATATACATTTATCATTGCTCTTGCTGATTGATAATTTCACTGAATTTTAAGATAGGATTTGTTTATTAGCCACTATGAATGGTGTGCAACTGGAAAAGGTAGATTCAAAACAATCATGTTCATCGAATAATTTGCTCTAAGGGCTATCTTCTTATGGAATACATTGTTGCTGTCAGACCCATCCAGGACATGATTCAAGGTGAGCATTTTTCTCTATTGGGCAATTAGGGGCTAAACAACTTTTTGATTTATATTACTTTTATTTTTATGAAATACTGCAAAGAACACTAGGTACAGCAGAAATAACATGATGCCACCTCATTTTTTTAATATTTGTCTTTAAGCAACAGCCCACTCCCTTTGCTAGCCATGAGCACCCAATTTTTACAGGACTGGAATACATATCTCCTACTCCACCTTAAAATGCACACACACACACACACACACACACACACACGGTCCTGCAAACAGGTTACACCTCTACACCAAGATGGGAATCATGGTGCATTTCAGATGCAAAGCTGCATTCCTCACCAAAGACTAAGCTGCATACAGCTGCAAGAACTTACAGTTTAACAACATCTCTAGGATCACATGATTCCTAACTATGCCTAACATAAGGTGATCTTTCTGTAAAGTGGTTTAAAAACCATTTTACAAAGCGTCAGATTGTTTCACTTTCTTTTTCATTCGCTTCTGTCCCTGAAATTTCTTTCAAATGTTCCTTTTAAAAAGTAAACAAAACATTTCATGGCTGCAATCACCAAATTTTCTTGCCACATTGCCTGTAACAATCATAATTTCCCCACAGACATTATTTTCAGAGAAAATTGCAGGTTTTTGGTCTTTTATCAGCACAGAAAATGCAGACTCCGTGGGATAGAGCATCAGGAACAATGTGGTCACCTATCCCAAGTACTGAAAGTCCCTAATTTAAGCCAGTAACTCCTAGCTTCTCCATAGGAAAAGGTAGAGCTCAGACTTCTCCTTTCTGAGCTGCTGAATCAACCAAGAAAATGTACTTTTGTCTTCTACTTTATTCCACAATCAGGAAAACGGTGCCAACAACATGATATATCACCCTTATGATGGCATACACTCAGCAACACACCCGGCACAAGGTTAAGGAAAGCATCACTTGGAGTACATATACACTACAGAGTTACAACAGTTGGATAATATTTTAAAGGTCATGGTTCCATTCTATAGAAGCCTGGTAGTTGCACTTTTCCAAAGATATATTTAACAAACAATTCCAAATGCCTCACCAAACTACAAATCCCAGGATTCCACATGAGCCATGACAGTTAAAATAGGATTGAACTATTATAGTGTAGATTTTCTCCTAGCAAGGAGACCTTTCAGGCAGCAATTCAGGCATGAATACAACTTACGCCTTCTTGATGTCATCTGGTGAGGCATTGCGGGGCACACCCAGGGCCTCATAGTAATCCACCATGGTTTCTGGTTATGTCGAGCTGGGAAACTGGAGTGGAAGGGAAAAGATATGTTATAACATTTCTCAGGAAGAAACAAAAAGTAGCCAACAGTCTGGGAGCGAGCTGTATTTGAGTCTTGAGGAAAGACCTCCATAATGTACAGACTACATAGGACTCAAAAGCAAAACTGCATCAACGAGCACCTTGACTGTTGAGCCACTGTGTTCCCATCTCCTCTTTCCCTCCATCTTGCGACTTTCTGGCTTAGGAGTATAGGATTTTCATTCACTGCTAAAGATCTGGCACACATGACTGAGGTTACATGACTCTATCCATTTAACTAGAGAGCATTCCATAATTCAACACAGGGCTTCTCTTGTGCGTAGCAGTAATATCTAAGGTAGCAAAAAGTCAGACTTCTCATTTTCACCGTGTATCAGGGATATGAATCATGGGTTCCTCCAAAGGGTGTTGGGTTGTAAACCCCACCAGCTCTAGCCTGTACAGCAAATGATAAGGAATGGTAAGAGTTTTAGTCTAACAACATCTGGAGGGCCACATAAATCTCTTCCCTCCATAACTGTTACATATTCTCCAAAATCCTTGTTAGATATGGACAATGGAAGTTGTAGTCTCATGCACCCAGAGGGTACTAGGCTGGTGAAAGAGCTTGAGAAGGAAGACTGACCGTGGGTCCTTCCACACAACCCTACATCCCAGAATATCAAGATAGGAAATCCCACATTATCTGAGTGTGGACTCAGATAACCCAGTTCAAAGCAGATATTGTGGGATTTTCTGCCTTGATATTCTGGGATATAGAGCTATATGGAAGGGCCCCGTATCAGTCTGAGATCTCCAAAAACACACCAAGAAGAACAACTGCTATGCTCACATCACAATCCCAAAAAATAACCTTGCTAAGCTTATTATGTCTGGTAAGGAAAGAAATATGCAGTGAAAAGGGCAAATTTCATAATAAAGATAAAATCCCTGATGAAACCCTGTCCTCTTTTGAAAAATACTCTTTTTGGATGAAACTTGCAATGTGTTGTTTCCAACTAGGCATGCAGCATGATCTCGTGTCTGCCAACTCATAAACAAACCCATCCTGTGCTCTGTGGAGCTTGCTCCCAGTTAATGTTCAATGTTTTATAAAGGGAGAGTCAATTTTGATGTTTTAAACTGTTATTTATCAATGGCATTGAATTGTTGCCAACACTGTGAACCGCCCTGAGTCCCCTTCGGGGTTGAGAAGGGTGGTATACAAATACCGCAAATAAATAAATAAATAATAAGTAGAAATAAAGTCCCTTTAATTCCACAAAGTTAGACTCTGCACTTAAACAAAATATATGCAAGTAAGAATAATCTTCTTTTCTCTCCCTGCTTCCCCAGTGTCCTTGTAAAGCAATTCCAAGTTTTCATTAAATCCCAAATTATTTATAAGGAAAGTGATCAGAATGCATATATGGCTGTTTTCAGAGACAAAGGGCATTCAGAAGAGCTGAACTAAGAGAGAAATGCCAGACCAGGTGGTGTACTATGCTAATGGCTGCACTTTTTCCAGAATTGTGCATTGGTGACAAGAAAAGGCAGAAAGAATCTACCAGCTCCAAGCAGCTTATTTTTTCCAGTGCCTGACTTCCTTTGAGGCTGCTGCTGCCTCCTCCACCTACACTGGTGTATGTGTGTCAGTGTAATGTACCAGGAAGAACACACACATGTACCTTCTTTCTGAATATACTGGATACAAGCCTTTTCTTGGAACTGATAAGTTTGGTTGCAAGATAATGTTGGTGAGATCTACAGCCAGATAGGAATTTCTTGAGAGTTGAAGGATGCTCATAATGGCTGTACATCTTACCAGGAAGGAAAGGCCCTTCTAAGGGTGTTGCATCTCTAAGAAAGTGATTAAAGTTGGACTCTGATATTGTGATCCTATGCAATCATAGAATCATAGAGTTGGAAGAGACCTTGTGGGCCATCCAGTCCAACCCCCCTGCCAAGAAGCAGGAAAATCACCTTCAAAGCACCCCCAACAGATGGCCATCCAGCCTCTGTTTAAAAGCCTCCAAAAAAGGAGCCTCCACCACACTCCGGGGCAGAGAGTTCCACTGCTGAACAGTTCTTACAGTCAGGAAGTTCTTCCCAATGTTCAGATAGTTTGAAGCCATTGTTCCGCATTCTAGTCTCCAGGGCAACAGAAAACCAGCTTGCTCCTCTTCCCCTCACATATTTATACATGGTCCTCATCATGTCTCTTCTCAGCCTTCTCTTTTTATGACTAAAACATGCCAGCTCTTTAAGCTGCTCTTCACAGGGCTTGTTCTTCAGACCCTTGATCTTTTTAGTCCCCCTCCTCTGGACACATTCTTTTTACGAGGTAAATGTGCGTATGGCTAGTAGATATACCACTTCAAGTTCAGTGGGGCTCACTTCCAGTCCCAGTTAACTGTATTCAAGCTGAGTATCCCTTATCTACAATACTAGGGACCAGAAGTGTTTTGAATTTTGGGGGATTTTGGAATACCCATACTTGCGTATGCATACATAATGTGTCCTATCTTGGAGATAGGACACAAGTTTAAAAGCTAAAGCCATCTGTGTTGCATATACACCATATACACATATCCTGATGGTAAGTCTATACAGTTTTAAAATAATTTTGTGCATGAAACAAAGTTTATGTAAATAGTAAATGTATCACTATTTAAGAAAGTAAATGTGTCACATGTGGACAAGTTTGGATTTTGAGGGATTTTGGAATTCCAGATAAGGGACACTCAATCTGTGTAAGATTTCAGCCACAATCCAACATATATACATTTACCTAGTAAAAAGAATGAGCAAACACAGTGGGTCTTGCTTCTGAGTGAACAGGGACAGGACTGCGATGTAAAATAGCTCCATATGGCTTTGTGAAGGTATTCTCCACAAAGGCCGATGGCCTTACATTGAAACAGAATCACGAAGGGGAGGCCAACTATTCTCCAACTGCAGAGTCCTATCCCACACAAATAGCTGGCAATGCTTCTGGGTTGTTGTTTTTTTTTTTAAGAAAACAAGTGATCATCACAACAGTGTTAAATTACACTATGTAACAAAATTTGAAAAAAAGTCTGTTCCTGGTTTTGAAAGTGTTTTTTCCTGTTTAATTGTTTAGTACTTACTTTGAAAATAGTTGTTACACTCCAGAAACCCAGTTCTTGTGGCTGCCACGAAATATGTTGAAGTGGTTGAGACTCGGTGAGATATTCATTGAAAAGCTATAGCAAAATGAGCTGTAGGATGTTTCCCCAAAACAATGTTTTTTCAGTTTAATAAACTTTTTCCATCTATTTATGATCGCACCAATTAGGAAATGACATTTATAACCCAGGAACAAAAATCATGTTGCATAGTGTTATTCAATGAGTGCCACTCCCTTCCTTAGGTGGGTGGAAAGGCATCTGGTTTTACAAGAGGCTCTGGAGGAGACTTGTGGCGAAAACTATGTACAGTCAGCCCTCTGCATTTGTGAGTTTAAGTTTTACAGACTTGATTATGTTATCTCTAATTTCTTTCCTGGCACAATGCAAAGAGCTGGTTATGACCCTGCATAGCTCAGGCCCAGGCTATTTGGCAGATTGAATCTCCCTGTATGAGCCAGCCTAGGCTCTGAGATGCTCAGGAGAGGCTCTTCTCTCAGTTCCAAAACCATCGCAAACACAAAGAAGTCCTTTTTGGTGGCTGTCTCTTGAATCTGGAACTCCCTTCTCAGGAGCCCATCCTATTGTCCTTGTCCTTCCAGCAGCAGCCTAAAACCTTTTTATTCACACAAGCTTTGAAAGCAGAAAGTTGTAAAAGAATGGGCTAGGGCCTTGCACTGGTTCAATTGTTATTAAACGTTTTTATTAATTTATATTAATTACTGTAATTGGTTTCAATAACTGCATAGGTTTAATTCAATTTCAATGTTTGCCCTGTGTACATTTTAATGGAGTCCCCGATGGCACAGCGTGTTAAACCGCTGAACTGCTGAACTTGCTGACTGGAAGGTCGACAGTTCAAATCTGGGGAGTGGGGTGCTCCCGCTGTTAGCCTCAGTTTCTGCCAACCTAGCAGTTCAAAAACATGCAAATGTGAGTAGATCAATAGGTACCGCTCCGGCAGGAAGGTAATGGCACTCCATTTAGTCATGCTGGCCACATGACCTGGGAGGTGTCTATGGACAACGCTGGCTCTTCGACTTAGAAATGAAGATGAGCACCACCCCCCAGTCGGACACAACTAGACTTAATGTCAAGGGGGAAAATTACCTTTTATATTTTTAATTGTATTGCTTTTAAAAAAATATGAGCCACTCTGGGTCTCATTTCTGAGAAAACGGATGGATTATAATCATGATCACCTCAAGATCCTCATGTCTAGGTCCTCAGCTGGAAACAAAGGACAGAGTTGTCCCAGAGGACCTAGTGATGCCTAGAAAAGTGTTGTCTCCGGTTTAAAAAAGTATTCCAATCTTTCTACTTTTACAGGGGTCCTAAGCCCCTAAATCCTGCAAATGTGGAGAGAGTAACAGGGCACGATACAACAGACACCTTTTGGGTGGTCTCTGCTTGTTTCTTTCATGACCTATAGGTGTTTTAGTTCTAAACAAATGCCTTTAAAAAGGACATAGCAAACTTGGCTGATGCCCCCTGGTGCCTAAAGAGTCTTTACAGTCCAAAGAGGTCTTTCTGACTGCGATTTGGAGTCATGGGCCCAATCTAGATGTGTCATCAGAGCACCACAACTGCTGCTTGAAAGAAAAACAATTATGTGAGATCAACTCCACACAGGAACTTCCTGATGTCATTTGAGCTGCGGCCACCTGATACCTCCTGTGGTGAAAATAGCTACAACTAAATGGAGAGATGCTCCACAGTGAAGGGTTTATTGTGAGGCACTGCATCCACATATCCGTACTTCATCACAGTGCAGTCACCGCACCTATCCTTCCATGAATTGGGCCTTGGAAACAGACAACACGTGGCTATCCAGACATCCCTGGACTGCTGTTTCC